AGATAGATAGATAGATAGATAGATAGATAGATAGATAGATAGATAGATAGATAGATAGATAGATATACATAGATATATATGTACATACATATAATATTGTGAGTGGCGTCGGTGGCCTAGTGGTAAGGCTACCGGACTCGTAATCGTGAGATTGCGTGTTCGGGGGTTCGAGCTTCAGCTCGGTCCGATGTTTTGTCCTCGGGAAAGGCACTTTACACGAACTTCCCACTTGGCTCGATCCTATCGGAGACAGACGTTAAACTAGGAGGTCCCGCTCCTTAAATAACCTAATAGTGTTGATAGGGGCATTAAATCCATACCATTTCACCATTTTTATCTAATATTGTTTGTGTTTTCGGGATGAATGAGGTGAATATGCAAATCATAATTACATGTACGATGATACATGTATTGTTTGTTTTCTGGGTGAACGTGGTGAATTTGCAGATCATAATATGACAATGTATATGTATGATGATACCATTGTACCACTGTGTCAGTTTTCTGGGTGAACGTGGTGAATTTGCAGATCATAATATGACAATGTATATGTATGATGATACCATTGTACCACTGTGTCAGTTTTCTGGGTAAATGTGACCCAACGAGTGGTGGGATGGGGGAGGATATAGTGTGTATAAATATTATACATGTATATAATATGTTATTTTCGTGACTGTAATTGTCTAGTGTTCCTTGTATGAGTGTAAGTTGTTTGTTTAAACGTGTACTATTTATTGTCTGTGTGAGTGTGTGGCTATTTCTTGTCTGTGTGTGTGAGTGTTACTTGTCTGTGTGTGTGAGTTACTTATTTGTCTGTGTGAGTGTTACTTGTCTGTCTGTATGAGTATTACTTGTTTGTGTGTGTGTGAGTTACTTGTTTGTCTGTGTGAGTGTTACTTGTCTGTGTGTGTGAGTTACTTGTTTGTCTGTGTGAGTATTACTTGTCTGTCTGTGTGAGTTTTACTTGTCTGTCTGTGGGAGTGTTATAGACGCTCGTATTGTTTGCTGGCGACAGAATTGCTTCTTGGTCATTTCTTTCATTACAGCTTTGTTTGATTTTTTTTCCTTCCATGAACCCCTTAACAGTATCCTCAGAATCAACATTTTTGTTGTTTCAGCAATATTTTCACTATCGTTGGTTTTTTTAAAAATTTAACCTGACGCAAAAAAAAAACAATTGTGCTGATCCAAAGTAAGGGGCAACTTGCCCATGGCCGCTGCGCTTTTCGCCGAATCCAGTCATTTTGCTTCTATTTTTTCTGTTTTGTGACAACCATAGTTGTAGGAATTACTATGACAAGACGCATACACTTCCTACATCTATGGTGGCAAGTGACAACACGTAACTAATAATTCATTCACAGCGCAATGCCCACAAAAACTGATGACGTCGTCATGGTAAGACGACTGACTAGAGTGACTTAAGACTGTGACGCAATTCTCATCAGTGTTATACAAGGATAAGCTCATTATACGGTGACTGTGATCATCACATGTTCGGCAACCATGTGAACCAGTTGTTTCTTGCGTAAAATACATGTGTACGTAGACATCTACAGAGGCTTTTTCCTTTGGTCTTACGTCGT